TTCTAGTATGGTAGGAGGAAATACCTCGTAAAATACCTCAAAATTACAGCACGCTGTAACATATGGCATGTATGGATGTATAATAATAGTTTGTATTACTGAAAATATTCATTGAATTTGACAATCTTTACCATTAATACCTTTATGCTAATATTCATTGATTGCAGGACAAAAAAGAAACCTGTCAGGTATACTTACAGCAGTGAAGATGAAGATGAAATTGTTGTTGAAAGTCCCAAAAAAAAAGGTTTGATCAGGTTTTTTTGTAAATTTCCAGATTTCTGTACAAAACTGTACAGTTTTAGCTCTGTGCAGAGTGGAAAGACAGATATAAAATCAAATTGGGTGAATATTTTGTTCATGTCATCGAGGTTCACAAATGACATGTACAGACTGTATAGTGTGTGTATGATGTTTTTCTGTACTGTTTATTTTTGACTGTTTAAAATCAAGTGAATATGTTTTCCATAGAATGTACTGTAAAATCTGTATTAGAAACAGTGGAGAGGGGATTCAATTTATATTAGAGTATCTTACATATATGAGAAATTGTGATTATTTGTGATCAATTGTACAAAAAGAATGGGTGTATTAGCGATGTGGTTTCTATTGTTCCTTATCAAACTGGTGCATCTAAAACCTAATGTCCATGCAACATAAAATCCGCTGAAATTAATGCTACTTTAGGGCTGTATCTAAATAATCATTATTTTATTATTACAATTGCCTTTGTCAGCTTTCTTAATTTAGCAGCATATTAATTTATAAAATAACATTATGCATATAGGGATTTGTATATTATAAATATATACCTTAGATTTATTGTTTTTATATTTATAGTAAGACTAAACCAGTCTAGGAATAATTCAAGAGGTAAAGGCAAAAGAAAGACTATTATGAATGATGAAGTCTGTGAAGATATGGAAATCACAAATAGTAACATATCAAAGAAATGTGTATCCCAGGGAAAAGGAACCAAGAAAGGAAAGGGAAAAGGAAAAGGAAAAAGTGTGAAAAAGAAAACTGATATTGCAGATGAAAAAACTGTTTGTATTATACCTTCTACAGTAACTGAGAGTTGCATACCTTCTACAGTCACTGAGAGTTGCATACCTTCTACAGTCACTGAGAGTTGCATACCTTCTACAGTAACTGAGAGTTGCATGCCTTCTACAGTAACTGAGAGTTGCATACCTTCTACAGTAACTGAGAGTTGCATACCTTCTACAGTAACTGAGAGTTGCATACCTTCTACAGTTAATAGTAGTGTATCACAGCTGAGTAATATAAGTACTGCTTTATCAAATACTTCCACTGCCACAGGTAATGAGATGAAAATTGTTCCCATTGTATTTGTCAATAACATTTCAGGAATGAATTACAGCTTACAATTCAAAATTTGACTATGAAATGTAATTATAATGTATTTATGTAAATTAATCATTAATATGCTAATTATGCAAATTATCACTATGTTTTATTGTAGATTAGGGTTAGTAAAGGGATAAAGTATGGTACACTTTATAATAATATAAGGTTATTACGAGAATACCTCAAAGTATGCACAAAGACACTACAGCTGGAGTATCGGCCGACGCGCAGCGAAGCTCGATGCGTGGCGTACTGTCTGAGTGCATACTTTGAGGTATTCTCATAATAACCTTATTATTATATATCTTTTCCTTCCAAGGATACACCATGGGAATGCCGAAATCCAAAAAGTTTAGAACAGAATCACCGAACTTTGTGTGGTGTCCGATCAAACTCTGATGGCAGCCATGTTTGTTTTCAATATTAGAGGACACTTGCATGCGTAATCATTCCATATTTTGAATTTGCATTTCCTTATATGGTAGGATAAAAATACCCCATAAAATATCGCTGTAACTTATGGCATTACGGTGACAGATGTATAATATATTTATATAATTTTACCATACCTACCCACTTAACTAACCCTAAGCTTCACAAAGATTTCTATGTTATGCTTTGTACATTCATTACTTTGTAAGATACACTTGCAATTGATAATTATCAATATTTCTACTATCATTTATAACTTATTACATCTTGTTCTTTTAAACAGCCTCAAAGCCAGGATGTTCAAATCAAGAATATTTTATTGTTGATGATGACGATGATGATGATTACCTTCCAGATCCACAGTTACTACATGCTGATCTGGCTGTGGATCTCACTGGGAAGGTTCCTGCAAAGGGACCAAGACCAGCACTTATTGTATGTCCATTGTCTGTACTATCCAATTGGCTTGTAAGTACATATGTTTCTTTATTTTCCACTCAATGTTTTCATATTACAACTATGCTTGGTATGCATGATGCAATGTTACTGTGGAAAAGATTGGCAGCCATCTTGTTGGACAGAATGAAACACTTGTTTAACTCATAGTAAACACACTGGTTACATGAGCTGATTTCTGGGGCTCAATAACGTCACATGCATACAAGCAATAGTGTCACATATTATAGAGAAGAATGGCAAAAATATCTTTCAGTAATTTACTGTAGTGACTTATAATTGTAATCTCATCTTCACATATGTAGGAAAACCAACCAATATTATAACACCTCTAGTGTCAAAAACAATAGAATTTACCCTTACGTAAAAAACCATGTGTGCATTTCTTTATTATTTGGGGTAAACTACCAACATTGACACATTCAAAAATATTTGCATCATATTTGAAAACTTTGCTCTGTTTACATCAGATGTTTTATTGCATAAGTACTGAAGTTTACTTTGATGCACCCACGAAATTATAATTGCTATCTCCACTGACAATATGCAAATGCATAAAATAAAATAAAAAATCACATCTATTTTATTCTTTATGGACTAAATACGTCTTTTGCGGCCTGAGGTCATGCAGCAGAAGCGCCCAAGCTTGTGAGGACATGTAGGCCATGTGACCAGGGGCAATAAATGCTGTATCCATAAAGGTTTTATCATATACCTTATAGGTGTAATTACAATTTTACCACAGTGTGACCTCAAACACACAACGTAATTTAGAATGACACATTTTGTTTTGAATGATGAAAGCCAGCCACACTGGGCCAGGTGTAATACAGGAAATTATTTTCCTGGTGTGAGGGCGCTCTTCCCATAGCATTACAAGGCCAGGCATTATGCATTACAGTAGAACTTTGATTATTCGTACTGTTAGGGGGACATGCTTATTGTTCGGTTATGCAAACAGTTCGGATATGCGATCTTGTGTGGGCGTGCTCAAATTTACAGGCTCACGTACACACAAATTCTAACGCACATGACTGTAATGAAATAAAACAATAGTACATGTAGAGTACGTCATTAAAAACATTTTTATTTAATCAGTAATACATTGTAATAAAAATGTTGCACGCTGGAATATTAACAAAAAATGTTTTAAAATGTCCGTAAAATGTAGCGATAATAAAGTTCCTTTGCTTCTTTCTTGGGAAAACCAAGTCCCGGAACCAAGTAAAGACGGATTTCTCTAAATGATCGTCATTGGCTGTTTTCATTATCTTTCGTTTCAGTCCTGCACTTGAATCCATTTTAACTGGAAAAACCCAGCAACTTTCGTTTTGCCTTGATATCGGATATCGTCGATTTACCAACACATCACTCGGTAGATAGATTGTTTGCGGTTTCGCCACGTTCTAGTCGATTTATAATTGACACCTTCGCGTCCAAATCAAGCACACAGCGTTTGCGTTTCACTGGGGTAGCCATGCCAACGCTAGATAAAAGACAGGCGTCTTGCTGATAAAGTAAACAGGTGAAAGGTCGCTTCATATTAGCTGTGTATAGATCGGCTCGTTGTTACCAGATTGCTCATGGATTTTCGAATGGTAAACTGCTACAAGATGTCCCGATTTTATTGGATTTAGCAAAGTT